GAAGCAACAGACAAAGGATTAATCTCAAAAATATACAAGCAACTCCTCCAGCTCAACTCCAGAAAAATAAATGACCCAATCAAAAAATGGGCCAAAGAACTCAACAGACATTTCTCCAAGGAAGACATACAGATGGCTAACAAACACATGAAAAGATGCTCAACATCACTCATAATCAGAGAAATGCAAATCAAAACCACAATGAGGTACCATTACACGCCAGTCAGGAGCCAGTTAAATTTGCGTCAGTAGGGAAAACACTGAGGCTGTTTGCTATTCCAAACCAAATGTCACCACTGTGTTGAAAGGGAATGTGTTTAATAGCTATATGATATGACCTGCACTATCATCAACATACATCTCTTAGAGAAAGGGAACGCTAAGACTTTCAATACCAGCTTTCATTTATGATGTAGAAAGTTCTGATTTCAGCAGAAAATTTATTCATCATGTTTTCCAGAAAGCTCTGCATTTTGGCAGTCAGTCATTCCACATATCTTTAATTCTCAGAATATGGAAGAATGCCATGAATGAAACAAATGTCTAAAATTTTGCAAATAGAACTCTTTCCACAGATGAGTCATAATAGCATTTCCTGTTGACAAGAAATTACTCTTCTCAAAGATGATTTGTAGCATCATCAGCCAGAGGAGATATTTATGATTCCAACCCCTCCTCCACACCTACCACCTACTCATCCACTTTAGGTAGTATAGTGACACAAGGAACCCTTCGCCCCACAATGTTAACTGGGAAAACTCAGCTCCAGAACAACCCTAGTGAAAGCCCCATTACAAGAGTTCACTAGAGAATATTAGGTCAGGTTGACTGTTTCATCAAGGGCTAGAATCGCTGCTCCCTACAAACTGTTACTCATGCTGGAATGAGACTTCTCCCATTCTACATGAAGCTGTTTGTACCTAGACAGCTGATTATCCACTGAAAGACTTCCTGTTTCTCCTTGCAGATTATTTGGTTACCAGGTTCCGATAGGGATTACGTCAGGAGAAAAGCTCCTGGTTTTCAGCACATTGGCCGGTTATTCACCATCGAACAACTTACAAAAGAAAAGATCACTAGAATAAACGTTGACTACAAGAACTTGTTCCACAATGGGTTGAAGTAAGTGTTTAACCACAGCTCTCTTGGTGTGTGTTGCCTTTCTTGCACAAAATCTGCATCCCAGCCAAGCTACTTAGATTTGTCCTCCCATCTCAAGAATTTCTGTGTGTGGCTATCTTTGTGAAATTCCCTGTTTTCCTCTTCTTACCCTTCCCTCCCTGTCTGCCAAAAAATGTTTATCAAGAGTAGGCTCTGTTCCTGGAACATAGTCTTTAGCCCCTTCTCCTGTCCTCCAATCTCTCATCATTTAACCCACTTTTGTGTGTTCTTTCTTTTTAAATAATGTAAGTATTTGAAAAGTCAGAACTCAAAAAGTTGTTGATGTCCTCTGCCATTACCAGATAGATTCCAGTATCTTATAAATGGCTTTGTGATCCAGACATCAAGATCTCTTATAGTATAAACAAAAATTATTAAACATCAAATTCATAAATATTATAATTAGAGATACATTTTCAGAATTAAAAATACCTGGGAATAATATAACTTTTTCAAATTTATTAATCACTGCTTACATTAATCCATATACCCTTTCTGTTAAAAGTAATTTTTTCAGATAATTCTAAATGCTTCTGAGACAGTTTCCTTGGAGATACAGATGTAGCTATATTTATGAATATACCTATATACCCATATATCGCTCAGTCGTGTCCAACTCTTTGCGACCCCATGGACTGTAGCCCACCAGGCTCCTCCATCCATGGGATTCTCCAGGCAAGAATACCAGAGTGGGTTGCCATTTCCTCCTCCAAGGGATCTTCCCGACCCAGGGATCAAACTCAGGTCTCCCGCATTGCAGGCAGACGCTTTAACCTCTGAGCCACCAGGGAAGCCCATATTTATGAATATAGATGTAGATATAGCTATAGATACATATCCAAAATCTCCCTGGGCTAGTAAAAAATCCCCTAGTTACTTTTCTGTATTTCAAGCCTCGGACTACGTTGTTGTATTCACCTGGATACCAATAAAATGTATTGCTGATTTATTACACTCCGCTTGAATTAACATTATTCCATACTATAGAGTACAGAATNTTCATGGCTGCAGTCACCATCTACAGTCCTTAGGAGAACATAATTCCATTTACTACCTTCTGCCATTTGTGCTATTGTTCTTATAAATGATATTCAGTAATACTTAATACATTTTATTATATTTTTTAAAATAGTATAGAATATTTTTCAGATTAAATTTTTTATTTTGAGACGGTTGCGTGTTAACATGTAAAGAATAATAGAAAATAGTCCTGTGTACTTTTTACCCAGTTTACTCCAGTGGTAAAACTTTCAAAATTTTGGTATGATATCAAAACCAAGATATTGAAATTGATGCAATCCACCAATCTTATTCAAATTTCCCCAACTTATATTCATTTTTGTGTGGGTTTTTTTGGTATTAATATATATAGATCTATGTGCAGGTTTATCATATGTGTGTTTGTGGATCCAACATCACAACCAAGATACAGGCTTGTTTAATCACCAGAAGTATTCCTTTTGTTGCCCTTTGATAATCACATTCCCCTTCCTTGCATATCCAACTCACCTCAAACCCTAACTTTCTCAATGAATAATCTCTTCTGCACTTCTGTAATTTTGTCATTTTAAGAAAAATATGTAAAAGAATCATAGAGTGTGCAACCTGTTGTGACTGGCTTTTTTCTACTCAGTGTAATTCCTTTTGAGATTCATAAAGACTGTTTCATGTGTCAGTAGCTGGTTCTTTTTAATTGCTGAATAATATTCCATTGTATGAATGCACTAAACTTTAATTATTCACCAACTGAAGGATATCTGATTGTTTCATCAATTTATGAGCTATTTTTAATAAATGTGAATATTTGTGTATAGGTTTTCATGTGAACACAATTTTTTAATAAGAGTTTATAGCTTATTCAGACTTTGCTCTCTTTATTTTTGGCTGTGCTGGGTGTTTGTTGTTGCACAAGCTTTTCTCTAGTTGCAGTGAGTGGGGGCTGCTCTGTAGTTGCAGTGTGCAGGCTTCTCATTGAGGTGGCTTCTCTTATTGCAGAGCATGGACTCTAGGGCTGTGGGCTTCAGTAGTTGTGGGACATGGGCTCAGTCGTTGCAACTCCCAGACTGTAGAGCACAAGCTCAGTAGTTGTGGCACACAAGCTTAGTTGCTCCACAGCATGTGGGATCTTCCCAGACCATGCATCAAACCCATGTTTTGGGCTTGCCAGGTAGATTCTTTACCTCTGAGCCACCAGGGAAGCCCTTCCCTCTCTTTAAAAACTGTTTTGATTATGTTAAAATACACTTAAAATTTACTTTTGTGATAATTTTTAAATATACAACTTTGTGACTTTAATATGCATTCATTACATTGTTCAGCAGTCACCACCATCCACCTACTTGACACTTTTCATCTTGTAAATTCAAATTCTGTTCTCATTAAACAATGAACTCCCATCATACCCTGCCTCCAGGCTCTGGAAACAACCATTTTATTTTATATCTTTATGATTTTGATTCATATAAGTGAAATTATATAGTATTTGTCTTCTTTTGACTGGTTTATTTCTCTTAAGATTAAGTCCTCAAGGTTCATCCATGTTGAATTCATCCACTGCAGAATATATTCCTTTTTAACTGAATAATAATTCATTGTATGTATATTCCACTATTTACTTATCCTTTTATCAACAGATGGACACTTGGGTTGCTTTCACATTTCAGTTATTGTGAATAAAGCTTCTATGAAAATAGGGGTACAAGTATCTCTTCAACGCCCTGCTTTCATTTCTTTTGGGTATATGCTAGGAAGTGGAATTGCTGAATTACATGGTAATTCTAATTTTAATTTTTTGAGACATCACCATACTATTTTTCACAACTCTAAAAACAGGAGGACACGAATGCTCCAATTTCTTCATATTAACACATCCTATTGATTCCTGGTTTTCTAATGTCACCATAATGGGTTCATATTAGTTCTTCTTGAAATGTTTGATGGAATTCACCAGTGAAGTCATTGGACCCAGGGCTTTTCTTTGTTGGAAGAGTTTTGGTTAATAATTCAATCTCCTTATTGATTGTAGATCTATTCACATTTTCTAATTCTTCATGATACAGTTGTGGTAAGTTTGTTGCTTCTAGGAATTTTTCCATTTCACCTAGGCTACCTAATTTATTGGGATACAATTGCTCATATTGCTCATACCCTTTATAATCCTTTTAATACTATAAATCTTGTAATAGTGTGCTCATTTTCATTTCTGACTTCAGTAATTTGGGTCTTTTCTCTTTTTCTTATTAGTACCTCTAGCTAAAAATTTACTAAGTTTGTTGATATTTTCAGAGAACTAACTTTTGGTTTCTTTGTTGGTTTTCTGTTCTTTAATTTGTGTTTGCTCTAATATATATTATTTTCTTCCTTTTACTATGTTGGGTCAATTTGTTCTTTTTCTAGTTTCCTAAGTTGTAAAGATATGTTGTTGATATGAAATCTTTCTTGGTTTTGAAAATTTTTCTTCTACTTTTATTCAAATATACAAATATATATTTATATATATATAAAGTATAGCACTATAAGTTTAAGGTGTACAGCATAATGCTTTACTTACAAATATCATTAAATGATTAGCACAAGAAGTTCAGTGAACATCCATCATCTCATATAGATGAGTAACTGGAGAAATAGAAGTTTTTTACTCAATAACTTTCACATATAACACACAGCAGCATTAATTATATTTATCATATTGCACATTATATCCCTAGTACTCTGTTTCTTTTTTAAAATTTTTTAATTGAAGTATGATTGATTTACAATGTTTTGTTAGTTTCAGGTGTACAACAAATTAATTCATATATATTTTTAATTTTTCCAATTCTTTTCCATTATAGTTTTTTACAAGTTATTAAATGTAGTTCCCTGTGCTATACAGAAGTTCCCTTGTTTATTTTGTATTTGATATTGTTTATATTTCAATTTATCCCTTAATTTATCCCTTGATTTAACTCTAATTTATTCCTCCCTGTATTTCCCCTTAGGCAACTATAAGTTTGTTTTCTATGTCTGAGAATCTATTTCTGTTTTCTAAAAAAAATTATTTGTATCATTTTCTCAGATTCCATATAAGTGATATCACAGGATATTTGTCTTTTGCTGTCTGGCTTACTTCACTTAATATGATCATCTCCTGGTTCATCCATGTGCTGCAAATGGCGTTATTTCATTCTTTTTATGGCTGAGTAATATTCCATTGTGTGTGTGTATGCACACATGCACACCATATCTTCTTTATCCATTCATCTGTCAGTGGGCATATAGGTTGCCTCCATGTGTTGGGCTATTGTAAATAGTGCTGTTCTGACCATTGGGGTACATGTGTCTTTTGAATTAGACTTTTCTTTGGGTATATACCCAAATGGGATTGCTGGATCACGTAGTAGCTATTTTTGTTTTTTAAGGAACCTCAATACTGTTCTCCCTAGGAGTTATACCAATTTACATTCCCACTGAAAGTGCAGGAGTGTTCCCTTTTCTCCACATCTTCTCCAGCATTTATTATCTGTATATTTTTTTAATGATGGCCATTCTGACTGGTATTAAATGATGACTCATTGTATTTTCCATTTGCATTACTCTAATAATTAGTGATGTTGAGCATCTTTTCATGTACTTTTTGGCCACCTGTATGTCTTCTTTGGAAAAATGTTTATTTAGATAATCTTCCCATTTTTTTGATGGAGTTGTTTGTTTTTTTGCTATTGAGCTGCATGGGCTGTTTGTATATTTTGGAGTTTAACCCATTGTCAGTCACTTCATTTGCAAGTATTTTCACCCATTCTGTGGGTTGTCCTTTCATTTTGTTTATGGTTTCCTTTGCTGTGCAAAAGCTTTTAAGTTTTAATTAGGTCCCATTTGTTTTTATTTTCATTACTCCAGGAGATGGATCAAAAAAGATCTTATTATGATTTATATCACAGAGTGTTCTACCTATGTATTCCTTTAAGACTTTTATAATAGCTGGTCTTACATTTAGGTCTTTAA